GAATGCCAAAGCTCAGCACTAAATGATGTACTCAATGCACAACAGCTGAATATATGAGCTATTCACATGCCATCCATATTTCTTGAGTCTCTTGTTTCTACTTGATTTGGCTTGGGTGTCTCCTTGATTTGGCTTGGGTGTGGGTTGGGATCTTTTTCTTTTATGGCTTAGTGGCTCAAAGGCAGGTTACTGGCAGCTGGGTCTGAGCAATGCCTTAGATATCTGACTGTTTCAGTAGGACATGTCAAGGGACTCATTGATCCAAAATAAATCTCTTGAGCTCATGCTGCACTTCATCGCATTATTATTAGTTGAGAAAGGAATCTCTTGGTATTGAGAGTAGAAGCCTAGGGAAGCTTAACTCCAGATAAGGTTATTGTCCGTCCTCTCATTCTCTCACCTTGGTCACCACCATTTAGTGAGGTCTGTGTCCCACATTCCAGTAGGAGCAGCATAACAGTATTTAGCATTGCAACTGAGAATATTCATTTTGGAGTCAGATGAATTTTGCTTGATTCCCATTCCTGCCACATTGAAGCTTTAACTTTAGATATGCTTATTCTCAAACATTAGCATCAGTGTTCTTTTCTGTAGAATAAGAATAGAGAATCTGTCTCATGTAAATATTGTGAAGATTATATACACAGTACATAGCATTGCATCTGGTACATAGAAGTGCTCCATAAATAGTATTAATATGATCATTGTTATTCTCGTAGTCTGCATTAAACACATTAGCAAGTACTGTTGATCCAGAGTGAGTCTGGGATTCCCCCTTAGGGATTGCAATTTAATCTCATGTAGGAATGCATAGTGTTCTCTGTAAGTTTCTTGGAGGTATTACAAGCGTGAAGAACGTAGGCATCCTCCTCTTAAAAATAGTAATTATGTTCACTTATATACAGACATCTAGACATCTGAGGAAATACTCTTTCTGAAAAAAACAGTTACAAGCTAGAGCAGTATTGGGAGATTCTTAGGTATCCAAGAATGCGCACCAAATTCAAGTCCTAATGCAAAAGGATTTAGCATTGTGTGTATATTTATTTAAAGAAAGCTGCTAGCAAGGTTTATTCATTGTGATCATTTTTGAGCCATGCTCTAGTTCCAAACAAGTGCTAGACTGCATTTACTGTCCCCGCCTGCTCAGTTTCTCTGTGACAGTTCCAAGTCAGCCCTTACTGGAATGCCAGAGCTTGAAGGCAAAGAGTTTGAATCCCCTGATGCCAGGTTATTCTTGGCAATAACCCACCTTGGCCCAGATAGACTCATGAGGCTCTGTCCTCTTTATTTGGGACTGGAACCAGGAGAGAGTTATTCTGTGTAGAGTAATGTAGGCATGGAGATCTCACCTGGGGACACTCAGGGGCACCCCTGCAGATAATGAAGGGGCAGGATGGGATCACTGTGATATTCAAATTATTTTCTTTAAATAACAGAATCTTTTTTAAAAAAAAAAAAACAATGAAGTACCCCAATACATAAAACAAATACCAGTCCTTTGTTCTGATTAAGTATGCATGTGTGCATAAGGGACTTTTGGAGCCTCTGCTTTCCAAATATTCACTGCTATGAGTACTGATCACACATACACATATTCGATGGCCTCTCTAGCTTGCCACCAAGGAATCTCAAGGCTCCTTTAAACATTGATTAAAAATCACGGCAATAAATGGTTTTTAAGGCATAGTCAGCTCCTGTTTTCCATGACACCAATGACCAACTGTAGCTTCGGGTAGATAAGAAGGGATTCTGTGTCTTGAAATTAGAGTGGGAAGCCGAGGCTCAAGAGAGAGAGAGAGAGAGAGAGAGGAGAGAGAGAAAGCCTGGAGTTGAAGCAGAGAAAAAGTCAAGGGCCAAGGGAAGGGCTGAGTATTAGTGGAGGTGGAGGCCAATCATTAGGAGTAGACAAGGGGGCAGGGGACTGTTAATGAGTTCTCAGTCCTGAAACATATGCCATTAGCCTACCACAGGTTTGACAGTCATCCGTTTGTGGTCTGGATTGATCATTAACCTTCAAAGGACCAAATAGGCTTCCACATCCAGCTTCGCAAGACATTCATCTTGTATGGTTGGTTTCCAGCATAGGGCCAGTCAGGAGTCCTGGGAGGTTGGCAGAGGGCAGAGGCCAGCAGGATGAGCTCAAGTCTCCCTTCAAAGAAGTCCATGTAGAATCCAAAAGCTCTTGGTCTTTCAACCTGTCATTTGCACTGATGAAGCGTGTGAGTGAGAGCATTTTAGAAGCTTTAGTGCTTACTCCCTACTCTGGGATCTGTAAGATATAAGTCTGACATTTGACCAAAGATCTTCTATGACATATCATTGAGTCTTAGAGAAATGGATGGTCTAGATAGAAGCAGAGAAAAACAATAAGTAGAAATTGGGGTTGGGTGCTGTGGCTCAAGTCTGTAATTCCAGCACTTTGGGAGGCCGAGGTGGGGGATCCCCTGAGGTCAGGAGTTCGAGACCAGCCTGGGCAACATAGTGAAACCCTGTCTCTACTAAAAATACAAAAATTAGCCTGGCATGGTGGCAGGTGACTGTAATTCCAGCTTCTTGGGTGGCTGAGGCTGGAGAATTGCTTGAACCCAGGAGGTGGAGGTTGCAGTGAGCCGAGATTGTACCACTGCAACCCAGCCTGGGAGACAAGAGAAAAACTCCATCTCAAAAAAAAAAAAAAAAAAAGAAGAAAGAAAAAAGAAATTGGGTTAGGCAGACATGTTAGAAGGATTAGAAAATTAGAAAATTTGGGGAAAATAATCCCAACCACTTTAAAAACCAAGCCAAGAATATCCACAAAATAGAGATAACCCTTTACTCTAAATGTCATCCTAACATCTCTCTTGGATATTTAAAGCTTTGGCATAAATATATCAAAATACTGTATACTGCAAATAGATACAATTTGTATTTGTAACCTAATAAAACTAGGGGAAAAACATACCCTAAAAATTAATCCAGCAAGCAGACTTTAGAGTTGTTAAATTTTCTGGCAGAATCTCTATTATAACCTGCAAAATGCTCTTCTCCATGACCCAAAATATGCTTCTGTCCCTGGAAGGGACTAATACCTCCAAAGGAGTGTTGTCATGAGTCTGATTTTAAAGAGCAATTGCAAAATTGGGCTTTCTGACCCACAGTATCTAGCTACTGTTTTTCCTTCTTTTTCCTCTCCTCCCTGACATATCTAGAGGGTGCAATCTCAGAATGAATCACTGGGCTGCTCTGTCCCAGTCCAGTGTAAGCAGGAGATCAAACGGTCAAAAGATTATGGGCATGGGGCTGGCCGGCCAGGCCATAATCTCCTATAAGGACACGGAAGTGTTGCTTCACGTCAAAAAATTAGACTTCCAGCCCCTAAAATTCCCTGAGACTGAGTCGATTTCCTTTTCCTAATTTAGAGGCCGGGGTGGTAATTTACTCCAGTTCCCAGTTCTACCGTGGAGTGGACTGGGGAGTGGATTTAGCAGAAAAATTCTGGGGCATGTGGAGTGGCGGGGAGGCTGGAAGGTGGAGTGAGAGGTAAGAAGCGGATTGGATTTGTAAGGAAAGTGGGGTAATTGAAGTGACTTTCTGGATTCTAAACATAGCCTAGGCAAGAAAATTGGATTTCTCAGAATGGCCCACCCAAGACATTCCATCGGCTCCGGCCAGTCTAGTTTTGAAACGCCTAAGGCGTCAACAGGGAGCTGCTGCCTGGGTTCAGCTCCTCTCTCCTCATTAGGGAGCAGGGTGGGGTGGAGCGCAGGGCGCGGGCGGCCTGCCTGAGCGCCAGCCCTGCACGCTGCCTCCGCCGGCGCCCAGCATCTGCTCGCGCCGCCTGCCCAGAATAGAACGTCTCATTGTGATGGATTAATCCTTTGGCTCTGGTCCTGCCCGGGTCACCAGCTCAGCCTGCACCCGCCCAGTGCTGGGGGGTGGACAAAGGGCGCTTTAACTCATTCAGCACATGCCCTCTTCTCTCCTGCAGAAGGGTCCTCTCCAGTTGCGCGGCCCTTGGGTAGAAAACGAGATGGACTTGCAAGGTGGCGCGCCTCCAAAAAGGGGACTGTTTGCTTCCTTTTAAGTGGTTCAGGGACTCCTGGGGGCGGAGAACCAAATTAAGGGAGATCTTTTCCTTTCTCTGATCTCTCTGAATATTTAATTTCCACTTCTTGTTTAACCTCTCTGTATTTTAATTTCCTCATCTGTAAAAGGGGAGTAATGATTTTACTTACCTCATAGGACCATTACTATGATTAAATGAGTTAATGCATATCAAGTGCTTTCGACTTCACCAAAGGACAAATATTGTACCAGTCCACTTATATAAGTATCTGGGGTCGTCAAATTCATAGAGAAATAGAAAGGTGCTTGCAAGGGTCCCAGGGGAAGAAGGAAAGAGGGATTATTGTTAAATGGGCGCAGAGTTTCAGTTTGGGAAGATAAAAAGTTTTGGAAATGGATAATGGTGATGGTTGCACCACAAAGTGAATGTACTTAATGCCACTGAACTGCACACTTAAAAATGGTTAAGATGCTAAAAGGTTATGTGTATTTTTTCACAATAAAACAAATATACGCACATACACATACAATGTGCCAGGTGTAGTATAGGTGCTGTATAAAGGTTGGCTATTGTTTATTATTAGTATTCACTTTAGATACGTATTATTTCCCACTTTATTCTATAAGTATTTGTGTCTATATATTTTCTCCCAAAAAAGCCTCTTGTTCATGCATTAGAGTTTCTGTACCTCACTTAACATAGCAATTTGAACATGGGCAGCTCCAATCCATCCATAAGAAATGAATAAATGAATGAATGAATGAATGAATGAATGAATGAGTGGATGTGTTGGACCAGGAAATACAATATCCCAAAGTAACTTATATAGCCCTTAACCTTCTGACTGATAAAGGAGGCAGTGCCCTCCATCAGTGGATAGTCCTGAAAATAGCCCAGACAAGACACTTGGAAAAGCTCCAACAGAGTGATGCTGATTGCTGGCTCTGTGATTTTCTTCTTGGTGGGTTGGTTCTGAAGCTTAGGAACGATCAAGGTCATCCTAGGAGAGCTGCTCAGGGACCCACCTTAGGGTCATTTTGTATTTGGAGGACTGTTTGCAGACTGAGTCCGAACAGCAGGTACCCCTATGAGTTTGAGCTTACCTCAGGGTGGCCTTGAGGTTCCATTCAATATTCACTGATACCAGGCTCCTAAGGCTGGCCCTTAAGTGACGGAGCTTTGGAGGAAGAAGCAGGGAGTTGTGCATCCTACCACGCATGACAACATTCATCCTTTCAGCAGGGAGCCCTTTCTCCTTTCCTTACTGTCCTGTCTCACCCCATCTGGTGTGAGCAAGCAGGAGAGAGCCAGTCTGTAGTCTTCAGTAAAGGTTACAGACCTAACTGTGCTGAGTTAAGAGACATTACCGAAATGACCTAGGAATCACCTGAAAGAACCGGACAGCTCTGGAAATGAGTGAACGCATCTTGCAAGCAAGGAGAAAACTAGAGGGATCCTTCTGGGACTGACCGCACCAAATCTCTTGTGTGTCTCACGGTAAGCATTGAGCTATTTTTGTGTGGAATATTTTCACAGACTCATCGGGGCTGTGAGGCTTCATCAGAAAGCAACAGTTCACCTTGTGGGAGATTGAAGTTAATTTTCGGGGACCTTAAACAACCTTTGGCCCTGGCTCAGGAGGCTGGGGAAAGAGAAGGAGTTGAGTGACACTGGGCAGCAGGAATGAAAAGCCACAAGGCAGATGATTAAAATGGTGGCTGAAAAGCGCAGTGAGAAAAGCCGAGCCAAAGGCTTGAAAATTATGAGAGAGCATCTAGTACTGCTGGAGAAGGTCAGGGGGACAGAACGCATGTTTAGGCTCCGGTCCCAATGCTCCCATTGACCCGAATAGTCTCTGCCCCAGACTGACCTCCCACTGCGCACACTTTGGTCTCATAAAGTGGGTTTGGTTTCAATGCCCAGCCAGCTAGAGATTACAGATGAGTCACTGTGTCCCAAGGGTTATATACCCTTTGTGCCACCTTGGGAAGGCACTTTCTGCTGAGTAGGCCCAAATGTAGCAGGTGACAAGTCACCTTGTCAGCCAAAGGCTCCCCTTTGAAGACACCCCATGGGGTCTCTGCAGGGACAAGAGCAGTGCAGTATGTAAGAGCTTGGAGCGTGACCCTTATCTGAGCTGCTGTGACTTTAGCTCCTGTGGCTAGGATTAGATGCAAAGATGCTGCCCTCACAGGGGTCCTGAACCCATTTGGGCTCTCAAGATTATCTTTATACATACAAATACCACACACACACACATCCCCTACACAGCACCTGGGACCAGCTTACAAAGCCAGGTCTGGGACCTGATGGGGCTTTGTTCCAGAGGAGGATGGAATTGCCTGCTGGAAATAGCAAGCTGCTGCTTTCAGCACAGGGGCTGAGGTACGCAATCCATGTACACTTTGTGTGCAGACAGAAACCTGAAAGAAAAACTAACTCAAATAAAGGTATTTGACAATTAAGCTAAAGCAAGGAGAGGCAGACTGGCTCACTGCTCAGAGAATCAAGAAGCAGTCATTTCTAAGTCCAGCTCTGCTGTCGGTGACCTTGAACAAATCATTTAACCTGTCTCTCCTTTTCTCTAAGGTTAAATCAAGAACTATAATTCTGACCAGCTAACCAGCCACACAAAGTTTAATTGGCTGAAAGGAGAGAGAGAGAGAGAGAGAAAGAGAGAGAGAGAAAGTTAATAAAACTGTTTGCCTATATTCAAAGTACAAAATGTTAAGTAAGGAAAGCAATAAAGCCTTCTTAGTGACATTCTATACCTTCAGGCGAGTGCTCTCACTAATTCAAGCTGAGATACACCCACCCTCAACACTGAACACCCCACAGTGCTGCTTGTCACAGTGAAAATGGTGTAAGGAAATAGAGCAACACAACCTCACATACCCCAGCTCCAGGTAATCAGGCAAGCCTTTAGGATGGACACTCTGTGGGGTAAGAGTCCAGGATTATCATTCATAAATATCTGTGATTCAGGCTTCTTATTTTGCTCAGGTTTCTTAGAGATTTTTCTCTCCTCATACTCCCGCAACTATAGTATCTGCATAAAAATAAAAATTTCACCATTATATTAATTGACATTTAATTTATCTAAGGACTAACCATTTTGGAATTTGGATCTGAAAATATTCAATTATTCTGCACTTGACAGAAGCAGAAATAATGGCTTCTCCTGAGCCTCATATTCTACTCAAGGGGACTGTGCATTACAAACCAGCTTTAATTCATTCCAAAACATTTATATGTATGAATCTGTTCTTAATGGCTTACGTATTTGGATCTTTGTGGGGATAGGGTGTGAGAGAGAGGATAAAAGATTTGCATAAGATCTATAAATTCTATCAAGGAGTAGGGTAACGGGTGTCATTTATGTAAAATTTTTGTCTATGTCTGCTAGCCAATTTGTTTATAGAATGAAACCTAGCCTTTTTGTTCAGTGCTCTGCAGAGAGATTAATCTAGCATGGTTTTGGTTGACTTTGGGTCCGTGCTCTAAAACGTCAGTTCGATGCTTTGTAAAGAAATGGGTTCATTTCTCTCTAGCCATTGTAGTTATTCCCATTGATGTAAATATCCTGCATGTCTGTGTTATTTTCTCCAGGATTTTAATATAAATGTCTAACAAGGTGACCACTTGAAATAATAAGCTCTTGACATTTACCTCCCCCTCTTGAACAGAACCTAATTATTCCCTGACACCAACTTTCCTTGTCAGGAGAGCCCACAGAGCCTAAAAGCAAGGACATTTGAGCCGTTACAGATTAGCAGAGCCGAGGAATTTGTACGTGTATCTTTAAAATAGCTGAGGTGTCAAACAGGGCTCAATTTTCACGCAGGACATTTATGGCGAAGAGTCTGGTAAGTTACTCACATTGCTTAGAGTATTTATTTATAGTAAATTAACTATTGCAAAACTTGGTCCCAATTTATTTCAGAGGCTATAGGGAAGTCAACCTCACCTCAGAGGGAGCAGTTGCACAAGCATGCAAGTGTTACACACACGTGACATAGACGTCATCTAAACACCTTCTTCAAGTTTACGTTGCCTTCTAATAATCACTTAGAGAAATTCAGAAGAGTTGTCAGAATCAAACATCTAAAGACTTCATGTAGAAATAAGGCTGTGAGCTTACAAAGGGATTTATTTTTAGCCACTTTTGCCCATTCGTGCCTAGCTTAGCATGAGGCTGTCCTAGATGGAGCCGGGGAGGGTGTTTCTTTCAGCCTTCCTCATCTCCTTTCTTCGTCTCCTTGTCTCTCATTACTCACTTTTCCTCCCAGGTCATGCTATCCACGGCCCCATTCCAAATACCTAGAGCTCCCTTATGGAACCTAGGGCCGAAAGCAAGCTGGAGAAGTCATGGCCAGTAAGATCTTAGGGGTCAGTTGGTAGGGGGTGCCCTTTGAAAGGTTATGTATGTTACAAGAGAAGCCTCAAAAGGTGGAACTTAGAGGAACTCTGTTTCTAAGGCTGGAATTGCAGGTGTCTTGGCAGGACGGGGATGGAGGAAGAGGGATATGATTGTTTTGGAAGGAGGGGCATCTTCTTTCCAGCGCCCTCAAAAATACACACTATGTGTCATCTTCTGCTCTTCTCCCTTAGAAAGTCACTGCTTGGCCATTCAAATGAAAGGCAATTTGGGTGTTTTTAAAAACTAGGTTTCTTTTTATATTGCTCGATTCTTTCTCAGAAGTTGTTCCTAGACTTGAAAACATGTTTATCAGTAAACATTAGACATACTTTTAGCAACAAGCAGTCTGGTAAACCTTTCCAGGGTTTCTGGCAGATCTGCTCAGTGCAGCTCATTTCTGCTCTGTTTTTTGTTTGTTTGTTTTAACTCTTTCTTAAAACAATTGTCCTCCAGGAAACCTACCTGGTCCTGCTGATCACATTACTGCATCTCCTGGGCAATCTGGATCAAATAGTTAAACACTCCGTGTTAAAGGGAAAATGCATGCAAGCACACTCAGCACAATGGTCTGCATGTGAGAACTTCCAACATGCTGGGGACCGTGAGGTTTCTGCCTGAGGAACAGCAGGGTCCTGTTTTGAAAGACAAGGGACAGCATGGTCATCAGGGAGGGCTGAAGGGCAGAAAACACCATGTACTTTCCAGTGTCTGTCCAAGCAGTCCTGGCAGCTGGACAGGGCAGAGATGGCTGGAGGCAGCGAGGGCACGTCTGTGCACCAGCTCTGAACCTCTTGAGCCATAGAAACAGATCAGTTGCGAGGAAACGTGTCAGTTTGTACACACGTGACTTCCATCACCCATTTACAAAAGACAGTTCTCAGAAATGATTGTTATGCACATTTTACTTTTCAAGCTAGACCTGGTTTTTATACTCAGTCAATCCAGGGAGACAGTAGCAAGGTGCTGAACAACAGGTTTTAAGATATGAATTAATTCATGTGGCTGATCATGTTTTGATCTGGAAAACATTGACCAGCACTGTTGGTCTGAAAAAAATGGACAGGTCTCAGGTTCTCACTGGAGGTATTTCGCTGGATGCAGGCTTTGCCACCTTCCCTGTAGTTTAACTCAAACTCTTTTTACCCCTGGGTTCTTTGAATGAATTCAAGCCATTTCTATGAAGTATTTTGTATGGATTAATCTATCAAGATAACTCTGTCTGGTTAACCTGTTTGTCCTTCAACTTTCCTTCCCACATAATTGTTATTTCTCTACCACCACTTAGATGGCAGAACTTGGAGAGCATTGTTTGTTGTTACTGTGTGTTGGTTGAAAATCATTTTTTAAGAGGTCCCATATAATGCAACTCGTGGAACCTAAATTCTGGTTTGGCCTCTGTCCTTCTATGTGATTTGAGCAAACCTCTTTCACATTTTTCTTTCCCAGTTCCTCTGTGTCTGAGATGAGCGTGTAATTTGTCTTCCTCTCTCAGGAATGCTATAAGGTAAGGAGAGAAGGAAGTGAAGAAGTGCTGAGGCTGTGACACTAAGATCCTCCAAGAAGGTGACACTGGTTGCCAAAGTCACTTTGATGAGGAGACATGGATCCTGGATTTAATCCCATCAATATAGACTTTTCTAAGGCTAGAGGGATCAAGCAGCCTGGACTTGGATGTGACATATAAGTATTCTTGTATTGCACAAGTTATACTGCCAGTAGATTCCTGATTTTTTTTTTTTTTCCATCACAGGATCTCTAATGCCTGGCAGAGAGGAGGTGTTCAACAAACACTTGTGGAATAATTGGCCAACTGACAGATTGACAATACCCTTTTCTGGACTTCAAGTGCAGCACCCTATATGCAGTAGACACTTAATAAAGTTTGCTTGATGATGTGCTATTATATTTAACCATCTTTGTACAGTATTTGGAGCCTGCTGTCAACTGATTTAGCATTGCATTGTCCCTAAGATAAATAAGGGGTGGTGTTCAGGGCTGCCCACAACAGTACCCTATTAGCAAAGAGGGTATAGATATCTGCAAAGTGCAGTGATAGGGAGTGGCATTCTGTGACTTTACGTGGAAAACCCAAGAGATTCCAGAAGTTGCTAGACAGTCCTTGTTGACTCTAAAGAATGAATGGATCTATTCTTTCAATGTATCATTGGGCAAATAAGCCTAACACAGCCATATCTAGTTATACCAAGTCAAGACACTCACTGAGGTCCTAATCTTCAGCGTTTACTCAGAAAACTCAGAACCACGTTTCCACATGCTTCTAAGTCTTTCTCCGGTTGCACAGTGAGGGTGTATAGCTTATTTACAGTACAGCTCTAGGTTTCCACAGCACCAAGGGGCAGAGGCTGCAGGTCCACATACCACACATGTGCTTTACCTGAGATGTTCCGTGCCTTTGGTCCTCTCTCATCTGCAAGTTTTTATGTATATTTGACCAACACTTATCAAGGAAGTCCTTATACGTAAACTGCCTCATGCCTGCATCTGATTGCAAGTATGGTCTCCTCTTTTCATTAGACAAAATGCATTGTATGGAAATTAGCATTAAAGGGGTGATTATTCTGGTTGCTACCAAATTCACCAGCCTCTGTTAAGGTAATGATAACGATCGTAGAAGTAGAGACTGGGGTAGACAGAAAAGACTCCAAGTTTAAGGACATTATCAGGAAATGAGGGGGGGAAAGTAACATGAATATTGTGACAAAAGGCAAGGAGAAATTCAGACTAGATTCCCCTAGAGTGATGCGCATCTGAATGTGATGATTTCTGCAAAGCTTAAGAATTTTAGTTTTAACCACCAGCTTATTGGAATAAATATTTTATAAGCCTCTTAAGGAGGCTACAGAAAGCCTGTGCCTCTTTCCAGCAAGGTGAGCACTGCTTGCCTGCATCTCTGTGTTGGGATGGGTGAAAAGTCTAGCTTGTAAATGCTTCATAGGAACAATTATTATCAAACTACTGAAATAAAAGTGGATTTTCCAAAAGCGCCTCCAGCCCCCTCTGCTCCATCTGCTGCATGTGCTCAGGGCATTGCATGGTTCAGCATTTAGAATACTTCAATCATCTGAGGGGAAAGTGACCTTCCCCCAGCTTGGAAAACCTTGTGCTGTGACCTCATGAGGACATTCCACGGAGACCTGAGAGCTAGGAACCCTTTCTCCTCTGGGCTCTGATGTGCTCATGACATTTGTGAACCAGTTTGGCTCTTCCACTCCTGTGCATGCCTTCACAGATAATGGCCCATCAACAATGGAATTATAGCCATTGTTTATATGTGCCTGTATAATGAAGAGGGTAATTCTATAAACTACATCTGAAAGTCAGTCTCGTGACTGTTAGGAAACATTGTATATTGAAATTGCAATTCTCTTTTCTCTCCTTTGGGCTCATAAGTGCGTGCTCTGGAGTGAAACAAGTCCTTTTCCTGGTGTATAGTAGCCTCCCCTCCTTTTTTCCATTCCTTCAGGCATCACTGAGCTTCTGTCAACTTAGTCCTAGATGCTAAGAGGAGCTTCCACATCTGCCTCCCACCCCTAGTCACTGTCCTTTCAAAAGGCAGCCTGAACACCTCCTATGGTAACCTCCCCAGTGCACTGCTTTGATCACATTCTCTCCTATTAGAGAAACTTCAATGATCCCACTGACTACTAACTCACACCCAGTTTCCAGAGCCTGGCACTTAAGAGTCTTTCCAATAAATTTCCAGCTTCCTTTTCTAGGCTCATGTCAGCTTACAGCCCACTTTTACTCCACACTGTCATCAGAGGTACTTAGAATTTTCAAGTAAAAAGTATACTGTCCCTGCCACACACCTAATTCCTCATCTCCTTTTCCACCTTCTAAAGTCCTCTGAAGTCACAGCTGAGCTCATGTACCCCTTCTCCACAAAACCTTCCTGGTTGTCCCAGCAGTAAGAAAGTGCTCCATCATCCAAAATCTTTATTTTTTGAGATTTGTTTGTTTATCTCACTCTGTCACCCAGCCTGGAGTACAGTGGTGTGCTCACGGCTTACTGCAGCCTCAATCTCTTGGGCTCAAGTGGTTCTCCTGCCTCAGCCTCCCATGAGCTAGGACTCCAGCCTCCCATGTAGCTAGGACTCCAGGCGCTCACCACCATGACCAGCTAATTTTGTATTTTTTGTAGAAATGGGGTTTTGCCATGTTGACCAGGCTGGTCTCGAACTCCTGGGCTCAAGTGATTCACCCACTTTGGCTTCTCAAAGTATTGGAGTTACAGGTGTGAGTTGCTATGCCTAGCTAATATTTGAGTTTTAAAACATAACTTTCAAAAATTATATATTTATTCTGAAAAATAAAAATTATTCCTACTCCCATTCCCCAAAGACAACCTCATCTCAGTAGAACATGTTGTTAGGCCTACTTCCAGACTTTTTTTTCATACATCTACACAAACAGTTCACACGTTCCAGATCACCTAATTGTCCATGGTTGGTATCATTTTGAATAGTGGATATTATATAAGTGAATGCAGCCTGTACTGGACTGTAGTCTCCCCATGGGCCACAGTTCTTTTACACTGAGTACAATTCTTAGCACCGAGTACAGAGTGATACCGAGTCTAGTTTGTTGCAAAACAGAATGAGTGAATACACTTCCCTGAACACCAGGGAACTGTCAATCAACTAATCCAATGGCAATTAAGTGGCTGTCACACACACACACACAATGTATTTGGTGAACTACTTTTATAGTTCATTGTAATGAGCCGTTGAGATTTTGGCCCTATAAGGTCAGGAGGAGCCAATAAGCTAAGTCAAGCAATAATCTGAGTCGACTTCTAGGTACTTATTAGATATACAGATTTTCACTTAGTTTCCTAACAGAAGTAGGGATGGTGTAGGTGACGTAGAGTCCTGGGTAGGAGTATGCTTTGAAAATTCCTATTGCTAGTTTAGCTTAGTGTCCCAGATAAGAATGCAAAGCTCCCATCTCTAAACCCTCCACAGCTCCCAGGGCAAAATATGGTTTTAGTTGAGAAACAAAGAGTTTGGATATCTCAATGCCCACATGTTTAAAGTACCTGCCTGGCTGCGGGTGCTCTCTTCTTGTACCCTCAGAAGCTGGTCTCTACCTCTAAATAAAATGCAAATACCTTGTTTTTCAACAGAAGCTAATGTGATTTCTGGGCAGTTATTCAGAAAACATCTTCACGGGAATGGAATGGCTACTGAAGAGCTGAGCTGCCCAGTTCGGTTTTTCAGGTGGCTCAAGTGATGAGAGCTGGACTGCCTGGAGGGAGCCAGCAGCCCGGGTGCAAGGCTGTTAGGTGAGGTGCTGCCCTGGCATTGGGTTGGATGAGTGAGTCATTGCTGTCATTTCCCTTGTTAGGAGTCACAGAAAAAGAAAAGTAATGTAGCTCCCAGAGCCACTCTAAGCATTTCTTAGGAAGAGGAAGACGACTCTAGAATGGAGCTGGGTGAAGTCTGGCAGCGCACATTGAAAAGGAAGGCCTGAGACTCATGAACTATAAAGATGCCAATAGTTGGTGTTTTTGTTCTTGTTGTTATTACGCTTGCTTGTTTGTTTTGAAAATATAACTTTATTCCCTAACTGCTTCAAAGTAAAGTGTAGAAAAAAGAGCAATTCTGATTTACAGTGTGTGCTTACAGAGAGGAAAAGGGAGAATGCATTTATCACAAATGAAAGGTTATTGTTGCCTATTGGCCTGGGATGGCTTATGTTTCTTTTAATCAATTTTTGCTTTACTGCCCCTTTTTTTTTTTTCAGTGACGAGGTCTCTAGTGCAGTGGCTATGCCCAGGTGCTATCATCACACACTACCACCTGAACTTACTCAAAAGTGAACTTATGACAAAAATCAGAAAAAGAGACTGCTTATGTTTGATAAGCATATCAGGCACAGTGGGGAAATTATGCAGAGGTCTAGACATGTAGCAAGAAATGCTTAAAGTTTAAGGCCTAGTTCATTGTAGCTCTTTATTGTAGATCACAGTTTCATATCATTATTGTAGGAGTAACTTGTTCTCTCATAGTTAACATGGAATAGCTCTTCAGTTTCGTAAATTTGTGGCCTCTAAAGCTACTGAGATTAATTGAATAGGGAATTAGGATATTTTCTTTCTCTTCTTGGCTTAATCTTTCTCCTTCTCCATTGGATTCCCAAGGCAGAGATGCCAAAATAACCCAGATTATCATTATCTGGGTTATTTGGGTATTATCTAGGTACAAGAGGCTCCTTTAAGATGCTACATAAGCTGATGTCAAGGTGGACAAACTCCATGTCAAGTTGTGGGCATCCTTCTTCTGAGGAAGCACTGAAGAGACAAATATTTTGTGACTAGGTGAATAAATCCAATTCTGATTCTACTGAATTCATTTACAATTTGGACTATCTCCATGTACAGATAGGCCCTTTGTTAATACCTAGTGGGGACCATATTGTGTTATACATCTTCATCTGTAAAATAGGAATATAAAGATGGATTTATCTAAGATAAATGAATTTTTTGTGGGTCTTGGGAAATCTGTCTCATTGTTTTAGCCGTATCTTGTAGCAATGTTATTATTTAACAACAACAAAAAATCCCTGGAAGTGTTAAGAAAAGCTCCAAATAACCAAATGGAAAACATCCTTTTTTTCTTTAGGGAGACACACTCTGGTAATGGTGATTTTTTGGACAAATTAAAGTAGATCTAAATGCATTTCAGGTACAGGGACTAGGCTGTTGTTCTGGTTGAAGCGATTCTACAAAGGCTTGATATACGCTGTGGGAAATCACAGCTGATGCATTTGCCCAGGTGAGTCAGTGCCTGTCAAGAAATGTTATGTCTTTCTTTAGGAAAGGAAGGTGAGAAGATGTCTCCAGGATGAGAGTTTTCTTCTCAGAGCCATTATAGGCAGGATACTACGT